TGGCTCTGACCAGCTGAAATAAATCCCTCCTCACCACAGCCCAGCCACCCTGGCCCTGCTGCCTCCTTGGGTGTCCCCACTGGCCTCAAGCCACTGCAGGGCTCCCAGGGTCTCTCTAAGCCTGGTACCAACACCCTCAGCAGACACTGGAAAAGGAGGAGGCAGCCTTGGGCTGGAAAATGGTAAAAAGGAAACTAATGAGGATGTACAGCTGTGTAAAACCCACCCTGCTCCGCCGTGTGGCTGGGGACTGGAGACAGGGACAGGGACTGTGAGGGGCCAAGCAGCCTCTGCACAAGGATGTGTGAGCTGCTGAGGCCCTGAGAGATGAAACTGCTGCTGATGACTGGTCTGGCCAGGGCTTGTCACTGCTGGGCTCCCAGTGACCCCAGTGTGCTGCATCCCTTACCCTGGGGAAAGGAGGTGTACAGCAGATTGCAGGCAAATGCAGGAAAATGAGGAGAGCATATTTGACTCAGGGATAAGAGCCTCCTGCTGCAAGGTGTGCCAGAACCAAAACCCCTGCTTTGCCTATGCCAGAGAACAGGGCAAGTCCTGTGTATTGGCAGTGGCAAACCTGCTCCTGTCCAAAAACCCTGTGCACTGTCACTCAGCATTGTAGGAAAAGCAAAAGGGTTTGGAGCCAACATTTTGTGAGTAAAGGCACATACTGGGGAAAGTTTCAGAATGGAAATTAGTCTGGGGAGGCAGTGATGGGACTGGATAGGTCAAATATGAGAGGATGTGCAAAAGATGGTCCTTCAACCCCACCCACACAGGTAACTGTGTCATGTCGGCAGCTGATGCCACTTTTTCCTTAGAAAGTGGAGGACAGAAAAAGGAGCCCAGAGAGCTGGGGCGTGTGCAGATGCAGTTTGATGGTACAATGAAGCTGATGTTAAGAGCAAGCACCCAGGGAAGAGGTGTTCTCATCTCCTCCCACCCTTCTGCGCCCTCCCTGGTGCTGAATGCCTGTGTCCAGCCAAGGCTGTGGGCTGGCAGCACTCCCCATTTCCCAGTGTTGGGTGAGGCAGTGTCTGCTGCTTTTGCTCCCTCTTTGGTGTCAGACATAGAACATCCCTGGCACATGGCAGCAGGTGAGCTTACCAGGTGGTTCCAGCACACTCTCCATTGTCCCACACCACTGCTACTCTGCCATGGCACCTCATTTCAAGAGGGCTTGAGTGCTTAAAAGTGTGCAAATGTTGATTCACCTGCGCTGCTGGCCCCGGCTGCCATCCCTCTGTGCCTCTCCCTGCCCTGTGCTGCAGGCTCTGCAGTGGTTGGCAGCACAGCCAATATTTGCTTTGCTCCCTGTAGTGGGATAGAATATAATAAAATAAAGATAGTGTAGAAAGTAATCTTACCCCTTAGGAGTTGCACCTGGGTCAGTTATCAAAGATTAGGAACAGGCTTGACTTTACCAGGCCACAGCTGTAACCAGTGAGAAGAAGAGTGCTATAAAAGAGTTGGGTGGCTGCTTGAGAAGGGAACTGGAGTTAGTTGGCTGCTTTGTGAAGAGGAATGAGTCACTGTGCTGAGGAGTGCCCATGAGAAAACACCAAGAAGGTATGGAATTTTTGCAAGGAGAAAACAGCATGGAGCCCCTGTGATAAGATGACAACAGGTCCCTGTAGCTCCATGAGGCCAAGAGCACATCAATGTTTGGGACATTCCATGGTGCCACCCAAGGGCTGTTGACTGGCCTGAGCTTGTTGTACCACCAAAGGGCAGTTCTTCTGTCTCACTGTGCCCCTCCTTTCCTGCATGTGTCTGTGTAACCCCCACAAGAACAATCTGTTTGTTTTTCAGCTGCCCAGGGCGGCTTGGCTGCCTGGGCCCTGCCGCAGGCCTGGGGAAGGTGTTGAGGCCGCCCTGTGGGAGAGGAGTGGGGCCCACCCTGCAGATCTGGGCAGCCATCTGCCATTGTTTCCCCTCAGCCCTGCTCTCACGGCTGCTCAGCTGTGATAGCTGCTGTTCTCTCCCAGAGACCCAGCCCTGCTCTCCTTTCCCATCATGAGCTCTCTGACAGGGCACCTCTCCATGTCCAGCCTGGCAGGGCCAGCCCCATGACAAAGCTGCTCAGGCTGTGTCCCCAAGTTAGCAGCAGCTCCTCATACAGACCCCAGCCAGCCTTGCCTCCTCATGGAGGTACCATGGGCTTTCCCCCAAGCACAGCAGCAGTTTTCTCTGTTCTCTCACCAGCTGCCTGGGTTGTGCTAAAGGCAGCCTACACACTCCTTTAGAATCATGAAAACCAAAGTGCTTGGAAGTGAAATCAGGCACTGGGCTGTCCTGCCTTGGGGTGTTGTAGCAGCCAGCAGCAGGTAGCCCTGACCTTTCCCCAGCTGGGTGCCAGGCAGCAGCTGCTCCCCCATCCCTTCCATCCTCAGCTTGCTCAGATGCAGGGGATTTCTATCCCATTTCCATCAGCAGGAGTCAGGTGTATTTAAGCTGCAAGGCTGGCAGCTTTGGGAGGGAAAAAAAAAACAAAAAAAGAGGTGGTTTTGTGGTAAAGCTAGTGGGAGTTTTCACCTTACTGCCTTAGCAGTCTGCTTCTCTGGGAAGCAGTTCTTGTTTGTCTCACATCTTCTGGAACTTTTCTCTGTGGTTGTTTACAGGTGAGGGTGTGTTAGGAGATGTGACCTTTATGTCCTGAGCCATCTGTGGGGAGTGCATTGAGCCTGTGCAGGACTTGGATTGCAGGTGACAGAGATACCATTTTTGGTACCATACATGAGGTACCTGTTGGCCCATGTTCCAGTGTGGTATCTGGCTAGTCTAGAAAGTTCCTTCTCCATTAAACATTTTTCTTTTCTTTCTGTTTCATTTTTCTCCTTTTCCCTGTTTTCCACAACATTATGCTTGCCTAAGATGTGTCAGTTACCTGTTGCCTCTAACTATTTCCAGCAGAGAACAAATAACTTTCGAACTTTAATGGGTCAGTGGGGGCAGGACTTAATTTTCTTTGTGCAATACACTTTGCACCCCATCTTTTTCCTCTTTATTCCTGATGTGATGCCCCAGTCTGTATGCTCCTCCCATACACAAGCTTGCAAGAGCTTTTCCCATGATATTTCATTCTCTCTTCTCTGTATTTGAAGAATCATTTGCTTTCAAAAGAGATTGAGGTACTGCCAGGCTGAACAGAATTACTAAGATAAATTTTTGGGTGAATAATTGACAGCTGTGAAAAGCTGACTTCACTGTAAAAAAACCCAAATAAATTATTTTGAGTACAAAAATAAATTATTTTTTCTTGACATAACAATTGTTAATATTCCTTTGTTGCTCATTTTTGCTATCACCATGCCTATGGGAACTCAGCATGAGCAAAATCTGTAGTGCTTAGATTATCTTAAACGGTGCAAGTGAAAACTCTTACATCTTACTGAAAGCAGCCTGAACTCAGGGATTTTGTCTTAAAATTGAATGGTTGCCTGTCTTTAAACTGACAGATCCACTCTTTGCAAAATGAGTGTGATTTTTAACTGAAACCCAAGCTACCACCCAGATTTACATCGTTGTGACCAAGTCCTTTCACAGCGTTCTCGGGTAAGTTTCGGGTAGGGAGGTTGTGGTAGTGGTTGTTCAGATGTTCCTTTCAATGAACTTTAACTGCAGTGAAGGCAGGTGGAGCAGCCAGGGTCTGTGCAGTTTAAATGAGCCCCTGCACATTCCCCAGGTTTCCATCAGAGCTGGGGCAGCTGCAGCCTGAGCTTTGGCTGCTCCCTGGCCTGGCTGGTTTGCGCATGACATAGCCAACAGTTTTTATGGAGTTTGGCAAGGGCAAATGTCCTGATGTCTTATTTTGGCTTTTCCCTGTGGGACAGAGATCAGGATTGATTTCTTCTGGCCCAGAGTAGGTGTTGGTGACAGCTGTAATCAACACAGAGGTGCTTACACTGTTGATGAACAAAAGCAGCTGCTGGATAAAAAAGGGGAAAGTATATTAATCTGTGCCTAGAAACAGGCATGTAGCTTTATAGAGTGATGCTGCAGGGCTTCATTTAAGCCTGTATGGGACCCATACATTCAGTCACAAGTGTCAGAAAACATCAGTGCTTGCCAGGTTTGCTTCAGCTTGACAGCGCCTGTGTAAATAATTGTCCTTTTGTAAGATGCTGAAGCTTTCTGTTTTTAGCACTACAGCTCACTCAGGGGTTTGTTCTGGGCTTTCAGAAGTAATTGGCAGCTCATAAACAGCTTTGTAATAGCACTGAAAACCATAGGAGGGAAGCTGCACAGGGTATCTGGAGCTCTAGGCTTTGCTGGGCAAAAGGCACTTGTTTCCAGGAATGTGCAGTTCTTGGTATTTTTGTTTTACAAAAAAAAAAGTGTTCTCTTTTCTATGGATGAGATGATGTATTGGATCATTTTGACTGCATCATACTGGTGGGGTGAGGGGAAGGGAAAATGTTGTTCTTGACCTCCCAGGGACAGCCTTCTGCCTGTTCTCCAATCTCCAATGCAAGCTGATAGCAAGTGCATCAAATAAAAATTGTAATTTGGCAAGCTTATCAGAACAAGTATAAAACCTGAAAGAAAATAAGCATGGAGCACAAATCCTAAGAGGAACAGCTAAAGGAACTCAGGTTGTTCAGCCTGGAGAAGAGAGGCCTGAGAGAGGACCTTATTGCTCTAGAACTACCTGAATGAAGGTTGTGGCCGGGTGGGGGTCAGACTCTTCTCCCAGGTAATGAGCAGCAGGACAAGACAAAACAGCCTCAGGTTGTTTCAGGGGAGGTTTAGTTGAACATTAGGAAAAATTTCTTCACTGAAAAGGCTGTTAAGCATTGGAACAGGTGGAGTCACCATCCCTGGAATTCTGGAACACTCATGCAGGTGGGATGTTCAGGAGCATGGTTTAGTGACGGGCTTGGCAGCGCTGGGTTGATGCCTGGGTTCCATGAGCTGAGGGGCCCTGTGAAGCCCTGCAGGTGCTGTGTGTGGTGGCTGCTGCAGTGGAGTTTGGCTCTGAAGCTGTTTTGCCCCCGCAGGCCTGGCGGAAGCGCTGGTTCGTGCTGCGCAGGGGCCGCATGAGCGGGAACCCCGACGTGCTGGAGTACTACAGGAACAGCCACTCCAGGAAGCCCATCCGCACCATCGACCTCAACGAGTGCCAGGTGCTCAAGCACTCGGGGCCCAACTTCATCAGGAAGGAGTTCCAGAACAACTTTGTCTTCATTGTGAGGACCACCTACCGCACCTTCTACCTGGTAGCCAAGACTGAGGAGGAGATGCAGATCTGGGTGCGCAACATCAGCCAGATCTGTAACTTTGGACATCTGGAAGATGGCACAGGTAGGGTCACGCTCGTCTTGGAGGCTGGGAGAATGCCCAGGGGTGAGAGGCATGGACCTTGCTGTCAGGCTGGGCTGGACTGGTTCCTGTAGCTCCACACAGACTGAGATGCTGCTAAACCCTGATGTGATTCTCAGGGACTGCACGGCTGCTGAGTGGAAATACTCACTGGCTGCCTGGGCTCACTTTGATGAAGCAATTCTTCCTTAATAAGAAAAGGTGCTGTTTATGTGAAAAGCTGACTTAGTGTTATCTTCTAGGGCCATTTATTTCATTACATGTCCTGTATTTATTTAGTTAGGCATAATGTAAGACACCTGTTCCAGGAAAGCATCCTGCACAACTCCCATTTTCTCAGGCTTTTCTGGGTGTGGAATGTGCACAGACTTGGGTGTATATGCCTGCACATAAATCAATGACAGAAATACTAAGCTGCCTTAGTCTGTTAATAAGAGAAAACAAAGAAAAGGCAGAGGATAGGAGTGTTAGAAGTGTGTGTATAGACTTTAGAGATGGTCCTGCCAGTGAAGCATCAAGGCAGCTCTTTTGCCAGGCCCTACACCTGTATATACTCAGCAGAGTGAATTTCTTGAAAAGCTGCCAAGAATTAACCACTCCAAGATGGATGTAGCCAGTAATTAAAGTGGGGACCTGTACCATCATTAACTTACCTTTTAAATGAGACAATCAGGCTCAGATAACAGCAATCTGTCTTTCCCTTGACAATTCCAAGGGGCAGATAGAGCAGCAATTTGAGAGTTGCAGAGGAAGTGAGTCAGAATGAAGCCTTCAATGCGATAAAAGGCAGTGCAGGAGTAGAAGAGGGGGCCATGGAGGGACACAAGCCCTGGGGCAGTGATGTGTTTGGGGGTATCATGTGTGGCCAGACAGTTCATCCTTCCATGGTCTTTGTGCTGCTGGTGTCTGCAAGTGCTGCATGGCCACACCATTACCAAGAAACTTGATAAGAAACAAAAGGCTATGGGAAAGGTTTTATTTTAATCTATCATGGTTCCTGGCATTGCTTAGCTGCCTTTTGAGCAGTGTCTTCTGAGGGAAATGGGAGTGGCAAGAGCACTGCAGCCGTCCTGTTACAAATGTGATGCCTGTTCTTTTCCCATTCACTTCAGAAACCACCATGAAAACTTGCTGACAGATTATGTGTCAGTACAAGCTGCCCATGAATACAAATTTCAAAGTAGCTCTGGTAGGGATTGGAGTCTGCTGCCCTTTGGAGGCTGGATGGAATTAGGGATATTCAGTAACCACCTTCCTACTGTTTTGCCTTTGTTGACGCTGAGTTGTTGCTCTTGGGTTGTTATTGCTGGTGCAGGTTTGAGATACAAGTTTACCAGTTACTCTGAAATAAAGGTAAACCCTTCTATGCAAAAGAGAAAAATAATTTTTGTTTCAAAATGTGTAGGCAGCCTTCTCTTGGGCACTTTGTGAGGATGTCAATGGGGGATGTGATCTGTGGCAGAGGAGCTGAGACAGTGGCTGTCCCAGACAGATGCATTTACACTGGGAAATGCCTTCTCTGTTTTGCTGGTGCAGTGCACTATTGCTTGTAAGACTTGCACATGGACAACACTCAGAGTATTACACATTGGTATTTCTCCCTGAGCAAAGATTGCCACTGTGAGCACTGATGGATGAGAAATGACAGCTCTTGCAGCAGCAGTTGGGAAAGCTGACACTCCAAGGCAGATATCACCCCCAAGAAGTTCAGCACTGCCGAGCATTTGCCTTGGTTCAGTACAAAGTCTGGCACTTGAACTTGCAGCCCTCATCAGGGGTGGTGTGAGCTAAGCCTCCAGACATGCACTTACTGTGTCTCTAATGCCAAATAGCTCCTAAGAGCTTCTATTTATCCTGCCAGTGAGCACAGGTCTGGGGTGTATCCAGGTCAGGCTGCCAAGCACATCCAGATCCTCTGATTTAAATCTGCACAGCTCCAAAAATTGCACATCACATTTCAAAGAGTTGTTAATTGCTTCAGCTTTTCAGGATCTCCTAAGTTCTCCAAAAGCCTGTAGGTTTAAACAAATTACCCTTTAAAATTAACATTAGAAAAGAAAAGCCCTGTTAAATGCCACATGCTTTTTCAACTTAAATGCTTCTGCTTTTAAAAATACTAGTCCCTGCTGTGAGTCATATCACTCTTAATCTGTGCATGGCTGAAAATTTGCTGTGACTGAGGCCAAAACACAGTCTGCTGCTTTCTCTGCCTAATGCCCAAAGTGTAGCCACAGGTTTATGCAGTGACTCAGCTTTAAGGGCTGTCCTGTTGTTCCCAGTTAGTCCCTTCCAGCAGCAGAGGATGGACAGCCAGGTCCCCACTGCAGAGGTGTTGGCAGCCAGATGCAGAGTGAAGTTACAAAAGCTCCTGTGAGCACAGCTCTGTAGTCAACAAGAGAGGGGACAGCTGGGAGGCAGAGATGACATGGCAGCTCCAGGCAGATGTCAGGAAGCACCTGGGAGGGCGGCTGTCAGGAAGGACTTGCCAGCAGCACTCACACACTGCTGCCACCAGAAAGTGCTGCTGGCTGTGCTGGGAATCACAGGGAGCTGGCACCTTTGGGGAGTCAGCTGGAGCAGAGAGGAAGAGGCCTTGCTCCTGGTTTTCCTACCCTATGTCAGCAAAATCCTGCTTCCATCTTTGGTGAAACCTCCCAATAATGCCATCATTCCCCAACCCCATGGGATCCATGGCCATGCAGGGGACTGGGAGGATGCTTGGCTCGAGTGTCTGGGGCAGCGGAGGGGTGGAATGAAGTGGCTGTGGGACACCAGGGGCACAGTTTATACCATGTGCAAGCTGAAGTGTGAGTAATTGACACAATACACAATCCAATGTGCCACCTTTTCATTGGAGAAACTAGTGGGAAGGTGTTTAAGCAGTTTCATTAGGAAGCCTTACTGTTATTATTTCTACCTTGGCATGTCAGTGCAGCCTTGGTTGATGTCAGAAGAACACCCCTATTTCACTGTGTCCCTGCACGGCTGCTGCACCACAGCAATTCTTGGGGAGGGGGCTGGGGTCCATAGCAGAAGGGAAAAGCCCTCTGTTTCTCCAAGCCATGGCCCTTCATTGATGGGAGAGGTCACTGTGGAAGATGCTGTGCAGCCTCTGTAGGGGTTTTCTCCATAACTGCAGAGCAGAAATGTTTGGTGTTAGTAGCCACCAAAGTTATTTTGGCACCTGGAGCCTCTTGCTGTCTCTCTGGCAAAGGGGATGGCAGGCTCCAAACCTATTTTCTGCCTTCTCACTGTTGAAAGTAGCCATGCATAATTTATTCTGCCCAGCTGCTGTGGTAGTGTTAATGCACACGATTCGGTTTCCAGCAGAGCTGGCAGGGACAGGAACAGTCTGTGAGGAGCTGGCTGCAGGTCCCTGAGCCCCTGAAGGTCAGGAAAGGGCAGGTCTGTGCTGTCCCCACCCCTCCCTCCTGCTCACAACCGTTGCCATGTGGTCTGCAGCTCACAGCCTTTCCTGATGGGATAATCCATGGCTAAACCCTGTGAGTACCAGATGGAGTTCAGGCCTGTTCCTTCTCTGTGTTAATAACTCAGAATGTCATTAATTTCTTTCTTATGCGTTGTGGCAGTTTTAGTTGTTGGTTTGTTGGGGTTTTTTTAAATGCAGTCAGATGGTGAAGTGAACATGCTTTTCTGAGATCCCATGGGAGTTAGCCCAGTGTGTGTTTGATCATTGTCAGCTTGCAAGACAGCTCTGAGTCCTAGATTGAAAAGCAGAGTTACTGTCTGAGCCAGCATGATGAACAAAAGTTATTTTTCAGATGGGCAGGCTGCAGCCCTCAGCTCTGCTTTGCAAATGTGAAACCCTGTAAAAGCCAGATGATCACTGATGAAACCCTGCTGCTATAAGCACCTGCTCAAAATTAAAGCAAATCCTTTGCTTACACTTGAATTTAAGCCTATTCTTACATGCTTTGCTGACCTGAGGCCCACCACTGCCCAGATCTCTGAAGCTAACTGGAGGAAGCAGGAGGGAGTCAGTAGTGGGAGATGGGAAGGAGAGGCAGCTCCCTCCCAGGTTGAAAGGGATGAGATGTGCAGGGAGGGAAGATCAGCTGCTTTATTCTTCTTCTGCTATCAGGAAGACGAGGGGTGAAGCCTGCTGTGGCTGGTGTGGGATCTTGCATCACTGGGATCATAGACTATCCCCATTTGGAAGGGACCTGCAAGGATCACCCAGCCAAACTCCTGGCCCTGTACAGGATGGCCCCAAGAATTGCACCATGTGCCTGAGAGGGTTTAGTTTGTGTTTAGTCATGTGCTGTCTAACCACCCAAGCCTTGGCAGTCCTCTCCATCCCCCTGGTCTGCTTGCATGTATACCCAGCACCTCCCAGACACAGAAGTGACTACAGCAGCCTGGTGCAGTGCCAAGGCTTGTGCCTCTGTTGAGGTTGGGACTAGATTGGACCTGCTGGAGGGTCTTAGGACCTCATCACACAGTGCAGGATCTGGGGCACAGGACCACATGCAGCTGGTCAGGGGCTGGTTCCCAGCATTTCCATCAAGTTCTGGACATCGGCATTACAGAAATCTGCCATCTTGCTTTACATTGAAGGCATGTTAATTCTCAGTGTGGTTTTATCAGCAGTTCCTGGTTTCTTGTGTTTGTTTCTGCTGTGGGGTTTTTCATTTTGGAGAAGGGTTAGGCAGCTTTGCCTCAGGCAGTGTCTGAGCCAGAGAGATGGGCATCCACTGCCAAGCCCTGCAGGTGCCAGGGACCCAGTGAGCACTTTTCCATCCCCACACAGCTCTGGTGAAGGAACTGCCATGCAGCAACCTGAAACTTCATTAGAGAAATCATATTCCCTAACTGAGGACTTGTGCTCTGGGTGCCACTGTTTGAGCTTGCTGCCAGGAGCAGCTGCTTTTGGGGAGCTGCTCTGTAATGACAACCTTCCTGCCCCACAGCTGCCCCTTGTGGGAGGTCTGCACTTGATTTTTTGATTTGGAATGCCCCAAAAGCTTTGTTTAGCTTGACTCTGTGTGGCTCAGCCATTGCAGGGACAGAGGCCAGGAGAGGAACAGAACCAGACTTCTCTGCTGCCAGGCAGTGCTCAGGCCAGATGGGTGTCACAGCCACAGGCTGCCACTGATGGTGTTCTTGGTGGTGTGAGCAGGCAGCCAGCTCTGGGCCAGCCCCACTGCCTGCAGCGCAGACCCCCTCCTGTCCCACTGCCATCCTACTCTGTGCTGGGGATGCTGGAGTGTTATGCCCAGAGAAGGTGGCACTGAGCTCGGGCTCCCTGTACCTTGTGACCTCCAGAAAAGTAGTGTCACTTTTCTCAGGAGAGAAACTCTTGTGGTCTGGTGGCCAGCTGAGAGAGGCATAAAAAGCTTGCAGACAAGTTCAGAGCTTGTCTGGCTACTCCATGAGCTGGAAAGCTCAACTTTGTCTACTGAGATCTAGTAAGTGGCAAGAAACCAATCCCTTTCCTTGTCACCATTAATTTGAAGTGTTGGAGATGAATAATTAATTATTTGCATTAGATACTAAAAAACCACTTGATGGAACAGGCTGCTGTGCCTCAGCTCTTTCTTCAGCAGAGTCTGTTCCTCATTGCTGGCTGCAGGAGGGAGAGGGGGACCCCAGAGCAAGGGTTCTACACCTTTGTACAGCCTGGAGGACTTTGATAGCCTGGGGCAGGGGGAGCAAAATCAGGCTCCCCTCTACCCAGAACCCGTGTGTGCCTTGACTCTCTGCTGCTCTGGTGTAAAACATCCCTGGTGCAAAAGCAGGGTGGTGACAGCCAGGGCAGTCAGAGCCGTCCCTCAGCCGGGCCATCCGTGTCCATTGCAGGTTCTGTGGAGAGCCTGTCTCACACGACCTCGTCCCCACAGCCCTCGCCGGCCGCCTCCACGCACGCATCCCGCATCGCCGACCCCTCCTTCTCAGTGGAGCCCGCTGCTGCTGCCGACGCTGCCGCCGAGGAGACCCCCAGCGAGTCGGGCTCAGTCTTCCTCCCTGACTACCTCTTCCTGTCCAACTGCGAGTCGGGCAAGCTCAGCCACAACAGGTGAGTCTGGGCTCTGTGTCGGGCTGGAGCCCCCCTCTGTCTGTCCAGGCATGAAGCACAGCCCCAGGGAGCCCTGCCACTCAGGGCTGGCTTCCAAACACAACAGGGGACCACCAGCCTAATCCAATTTGCAGGGTGCTTTTCATAGCATAGATTAGTGATTGAGCATCATGTGTTGGTGCTGTCCCTTTTCAATGTGGGTGGCTGAGGATCTGACACACAGCCTCCCCCCAGACACCTGCTGTTGCCCAAGGTGCTCCACACAGTGCCCCAGCCTCAGTGCAGCTCAGAGGGAAGGGAGAGATATTGTCCCAAACTGTGTGGTTGAGTGTTGTGTTTGCTGTGTTCTTACAGCCAGGAGAAAAAGAAAGCTCAGATCCTGACCTCTGTCTCCTTGCAGGTGTGACAGCTGGTCAAATTCAGACAGATCTCTGGAGCAAACATCATCAGACGATGTTTTTGTTGACTCCTTGCAATCCCAGCCCTCCCTGTACCTTGTACAGCCAACCGGCGCCGGCACCGTGCAGCAGGTCGGAGCCACAGTGGCAAATCCCAGCGTGGTGTGCAGGAGCACAGACATTAGTGGGCCATGCAGTGACTTTTCCTCCTCTTCCCCGCTGCTGGGGACGCCGCTGAGCCCTGAGTTTCAGGCTGACAAGAGCCAGAAGGCGCTGCCCTTCGGGGTGACGCAGCTGGACGTGCTGTCCAACACGCCGCCGCCGCGGCCGCCCAAGCCCACGCACTTCTCCGACAGGAGGGGAGAGGAGCTGGGGGCCCTGCAGAACGGCCACGCGGGCATCTGCCGGGCCCAGGTGGCTCTGGTGCCCAGAAGGATCTCCTTGTCCAGCTTGGACAACATGAGGAACTGGAAAGGTGAGTGCACTTCCAAGAGGCAGCAAAGCAGCACCAGTGTGATGGAGCTGCCCACATGCACAGAGTGGTTTTGACTTCCTGTTGTGCCTCTCTGTCCTCCCCTCTGTGAAATCTTACACCACCCAATGTAACACCAAGTGCTGCTTTCAAATGAACTGGCAAGCAGGATTCAGTCCCTTAGGCTTGCTCCTGCTGTGTAGAAGCCTCTCAGTATGTGTGCAGATAGGCAGCAGTTTGGCTCTGATCCCTTCAGGGTGCCTCCTGCCTTGCTAATTTTCCCCCTTCCTCCTCAGAAGAGAAAGCAGTAGAAAAACCAAAATGAGAAGTCAGCCACTGAGTTGGGCAGTGCCAAACTCTGTTTATACAGGTCAAAATGTGGGAAATGCCTCTGGAGCTGTGCTGCTTTGCTGCACAGTCTGTTCTGTGAGAGCTGCGTGTCTTTTCACAGCTTAGAGTAAAGACCAGGAAGTCAGGGAGACACTGGGGATGGGATGTAATCCTGGCTGAACCAGGGACTCTGCGTGTCCTTGAACAAATCCCACTCTGTCCTTGCACTTCGGTCAGGGCAGTCTGAAAACCTGCTGCTACAGAGCAAGGCAAGGCTGCAAAGCAAACTCCACTCTGAGCTGAGCTGGCTTTTCCACTTGCTCCTGAAACACCTTCATCACAAACAGGAGCAACAACCAAAACCCAGAACATCACGATGTCAAAAACCAGCATCCACAGTATGAGAAAACTTTATTACATGGAGCCACAGGACAGAGGGAGACAGCTGGAATACCTGGCTGGAAATCATCAAGTATATTGTAGTGATGTGAAAACCTTCATTTTTGATGAGGAAAAAAGTGTAGGTTTTTAAGGGCAAGCATCCTTTAGACTCCTGCAGTTTGAATGACCAGACAATGTGTGGGGCTGTTAGATCTTGCTCTTAAAGCTCAGAAGCTAAAGCAAGGAGATCTCTGCTCAGTCTGTCAGTGTACAGACAATTCTTGGAAGGTTTCTGGAGAAACAACCATCAGTGGAATTGCTGTTCTTAATTATCAACTACATTTGGTTTCTCCCTGAGAGGTGCTGCTCTTGCTTCTGCACGTGTGCTGCTCCAACACAGCTGGTTCATGATCCTCCAACCCAATTTACACCAAAATGTCTCTAAGAGGATTAAGTGGCCAAATGTCATGTTGTGCTGCTGTGCTGTAGGGTTGTCTCTGCCTGATGGGGGCAGCAATGAATTAATAAGTGCTGCCATTTTTTCTTACCCTAAGTGTAGCTGAAGCCATTTGAAGGGTTAAACTCTGAATTAAAATGTGTTTAACAAGAAAGATCAGAAAAATAAAGAGGGAGAAAGCAGCGGTTCCTCACCAGCTTCCTCAGTGAGTGCACTCAAGTTATTAACTTATTTTTTTGCCCTGCTAACCTGCAAAAGGTGCACAGATGTAATTAGCCCAGGGAGAAAGCAGCATGAGCTAGTGGAAGTGCCATGAAGGAAGATGAACTGTGAGGCACCTGTATCCTGCCACAGCCTCAATATCTTTCTGCCAAAATAAATAACTGTAGCTGTCCCAGGACAGTGACTGTGTCCCTCTGAAGATGTATCTGCACTAACAGAATTGCTTTGTTCTTGTTTAGCCCTTTTGGCTGGTACCACAAAAATGCCCCCAGTTGCAGTTCTGACATCTCTGCCATAAGAGAAGGGAATGGATTAACATGGTTGCAGGGATTTGAGGCTTTCTCACAGAAAAGCCATTTTCTGCACAGAAAACCCCTTTTCAGGAAAGGATAGTGGTTATAAGCATCTCCCACAGCTGAACTTCTTTGTGCTGAATGCTGGATTTTAGCATTTTTGGCTTTTGCTTGGAAAATAAAATTGGCCTATACCAAGGCCCACCTGCACAAGAGACTGGTGACTGTCTCCATGATCTGGCTGCTCATTCCCCATCACCTTGAGCCCCTTGCACCACATCAGCACTTCTGGATGAAAAAACAAAGAATTTTTCTCCTACCATTAAGTTCCCCCCCACACCACTTTCTGTACAATAACAATTGCTTCCCTGGCACCTTAAAAGGCTCCAAAATAAATATCCAAGAAATAATATCTATAATAGCCCCTTTTCATATAATTTTCCCAGTTTAACAGATGGGAAAACAGAGAACAAATAGAGCGGGAGCTGCATTTAAATCCTTGCTTGCTTGCTTGCTCCCACACCAGCCTTTTTCCCCAACTGTTTGTGTTACAGGAGGCATAAGTTTCAGCTGGATTATACATGAGCAGGTTCCTTGGTTTCCTACTTAAAATAATGTAATCACTCTTGAAATGCTGCTGAGTTGGATCTGGTCTTAAGTGTCATTGTATTTCCTCATTTAGGAGTTATGGAATCTTTATAAAACTCCAATTATTTTAGAGCCATATGTTTTACTCCAGAATTATCTCAGTAAGGTTGCACTGCCTTATCCCATTTTTAATCACTTTTTTTTCCTCACAGCAGACATGGAAGGCAGTTCCCTAAGAAGTCGAGATAAGAGGCTTAGCTTGAATTTGGTAAGTACTCTGTTTGCACAAATTTAAAACACTGGCAGAAACTTCCCAGTGAATCATTTCCACATCCTGATACTCAATCATTCCTCTCCTCTGTTCAGCAGAAGAATTTAAGAAGTGGAAAAAGTGCCTAGCTATGGGCAACTTCAGTGCTGGCTGCTTTGTGGCTTCAGTCAGCCTTTGAGAGAAGAGGGAGGGAGAGGCCTCAATCCTGAGCGTCCCATTTTTAAAGCAGATGAAGCTGGGTCTGTTATGACAAGAGTTCCCAGTAGTTTCATGAATTAAACTGTTGACCAAGAGCACCAGGGCTTATTCCTTGAAAAAGGGGTCTAAAGAAGCCTATCACCCCATGGTCCTGAGGGATATCTCTTCTTTAGGACATTGGAAAATGTCTGCTGTCACAGTGCCTGTGGTTGAAGGCTCTGTCAGTCCACAGCTTCCTGCCTCAGCCTGTGCCAGACACAGTTCTAAATAGCACCATCTCACATCACATAGCCAGTCTTCAGCCTGGGGCTGGATCTTGTCTTCTGTGGCAGATCCTTTGGTGGTGGTGGGCAACTTATATTTTTCTCCTTTTTGAAAGCTTGCAAGGATTGTAATCACTCCCTCTCACCACTCAGCCAGCGCTAACGTGCACAAAGTGATTTCCTAATGCTAATTCTCCGTGATCAGAAATGAGTTGTAGGTGTGTGTGTGCTCTCTCAGGTTCCACATTTGCTAGAGTCTAGTTCATCAGGTGTTGTCCTTTCAGACTTTTTTTGTCAGGATCAGGATCTTGCCTCTCACAGTAGTAACTCTGACCTCATTTTATAGGTCAGAATTACTGCTGTGAGAGGCAAGTGTGGCCTCGCTGAAGCTGGATGATTTCACCAATAAAGTCCCCAGTCAGTTTGGTCCTAGCTTCCAGCAGTGACTCGTGAAGCTCAGCGTGGACTGCTCCAGAGCTGGAGGGTTCACCTGAACTCTCATGTTTGTGTCTCGTCCATCAGAGCAGTGCTGGGCTCAGCTCAGGTGTGTTCCCAGCAGCCTGGCTGGGAGGTGCCTGGGCTGTGCATTAATGGAGCCCTCTCTCTGTGTCCCCGCTGTGCGCTGTGTTCCCAGCTCCTATCTGGGAGGTGCCTGGGCTGTGCATTAATGGAGCCCTCTCTCTGTGTCCCCGCTGTGCGCTGTGTTCCCAGCTCCTATCTGGGAGGTGCCTGGGCTGTGCATTAATGGAGCCCTCTCTCTGTGTCCCCGCTGTGCGCTGTGTTCCCAGCTCCTATCTGGGAGGTGCCTGGGCTGTGCATTAATGGAGCCCTCTCTCTGTGTCCCTGCCCTGCAGCCGTGCCGTTTCTCCCCGCTGTGCTCGGCTGACAGCTCTGAGGACAGCTACGTGCCCATGCGCCCCAGCACCTCGCCCTCCGCGCCCGCCTCCGACTGCTCCCCCGACGGCTACATCCCCATGAGCCCCGGCTCCGCCACCTTCACCTTCCCCGTGGTCAGCACTGAAAAAATCACCAGCCCCTTGCCCGAGCTCCCCTCCGACGTGGAGCCCCCTCCGGTGAACCGAGACCTCAAGCCTCGGAGGAAGTGTAAGCCCTGACCTCAAGTGCAAAGCCTGGGGGTCCTGCTGGTGGGGGCATGGGTGACTCCTTGGATAGTGTCCTTGGCATGTCTTAAAGCAATTCTCCCTCTAGAGGACGGGTTGAAATGCTGCACGGTGACTTACAGCACTGTAGCCGGGAATGTGCCTGCAGGGAGGTTTGTGAGTGAGGAAGAGCTTCCACGGCTGCTTCTGCAGTCCCAGCTCAGGATTGCCTGGCTCTCACTGTCACTGCAAACAGCCAAGGGGGCCTAGCCTGGGAGAGACAGCAGGCTAAATCCTGCCACTCTGAGGTACATGTCTCACCAGCTCTCCAACCTGCCAGGAATGGGACATACAAACACTCAAGTACTCAAACTTGATGTGTTGGCTGTGGTTAAACCTCTCTTGGGTAGGCACAGCTGTCCTCGTTTAATGAGGAATTTTCTGCAGATGCTTTTGCTGATGGTAATTTTCCACTCCTGTTTTCATGGCATGTCCAAAATCTGGGTTGCACTTCTAGAGAATATACTGGGGACAAAATTCAGATTTCAAGTGGGGAAATTGCCTATACCTAGCCTACAATAAAGCTCTTGGGGTTGCAGAACCACAGTGTTACTCAGAAATTGGTTTAGGTAGTGCCGCTATAAAGTGGGGACAGACATTTAGACCATTGCCATGAGGAAAAGCAAACTCATATCCTTTCTTAAAGGGCCTTGAGAATGGTGGGCACATGTGCATTGAGTAGTGACGAGGATGGTCCTGATCCCCGTGGATAGGACCTTTTTGTTTAGGACACAATCCAGAACCTGTTATAACCTGTAGGCTGAGCCAGCCTCTCCAAGGCAGCATATACAGACCATATTTGGGGCAAGTGTATGTATCTTGTGTGGCATTTAGTCTCTTTATGCCCACTATATTTATTCTGTTATTTTAGGGTGATTAGAGGACTTTGCTTTCCAGCACTGACCAAAGAGGTCGTTTGTTACTGATTTCCTTCTTGGTTATGTTCTGTGAAATACTCTGTTAGTTTCTTTCTGTTAATACAAAACTGCATTTTTCTGAACAGTCTGTACTTTTCATTGAAAACATAGTTCCTTTTGTTCTTTCCTACAGCACGACCACCTCCTCTGGACTTGAGGAATCTCTCCACGATCCGGGAGCACGCTGCTGTGACCAGGATGTGGACTGTGCCTTAGTAAGTCAACAAGAAACCTGCCATTCCAATCTTCTGGGCATTAGCATGGAGTAGAGTTAAAAATAACTTATCCCATCCCACAATAAAGATTCCTGGCAAAGCCCACAAACAGAAGTTCCCCAAGGTTCCTTTCAGTATCCCCCAGGCTTTTGCTGCCTCTGAAAAGCAGGGCTCCCTTTCACAATGGGCAGCTCCAGAGAATTCAGTGTCGTGATTTGAAGGTTCCTTTTAACCTGGAGCTGGTCTGTGCTCTGGTGTGGCTGCTACAATGGCTAAAAGCTCGGCATGCCTAAAGTATGATCAATCCATTTTTGCTTCTTAAAATTAATATAGCAAAGTAGAACCAGATCAGATGAAGAGTTCCCTGAATTATAGACTGGGTGTAGAATTCTGCACTGCCACACAGCAGTCCAGACTTCAACTTTTGGCATGACCTTTTGTCGCTAGAAATTAGTTGTTGGTAAAACAAATGCCTTTGATCCCAAAGCCCAGGAAGTATGACCAGATAATACTGTTGGGCTCCAAGCGCAGCAGAACACTCATCTTCAGGGAACTTGTGAGCAGGAGAGGCCTTCAGCCTGCCGGTTAGGGGGGTTCTTGGCACAAAAATAAAGGCAACTGTACCAAAGTGTGCATGCAAAAGCCATAAATTCCCACCAACCTCCTCTGCACACCCTGGGCACTCCAGAAAATGTGGGGGTTTGCTGGCATGAGTGCCAGACATGGTATTTCCACTCCCCCATTTCAGGTTGTCACATGAAGGGCAAGAGACACAAGATGAGCAGTTTGTCAGTTGCAGAGCCCTCTCTCACATCCAGCCCAAGGCTGGTTAAGCCCCTTGGCACTGACTGTTAGGGAAAGCCAATACCCTGCCTCCCCAGCACCCCTGCCAGAGCACTGAGGTTAATCAGTGCTGACACAGAGCAGAGTCCTGAAGGATAATGAGCTTAGAGTGAGTTTGCATGTTTTACACTAACAAAAATAAAAAATAAGTTATGCCTGAAACTAATACAGCAAAAGGAATTATGCTGTTCATGCACAGAGAGGCCATCTAATTTCCTATTAACCAAGCCCATTGTGCTTGCCTGTGGTAATTTATTCACCATGCACCTCTGAGAGAATTGTGTTCATGGGAGAGATTTCCTTGTGCAGGAGCTGAGCCACAGCCCTCTCCACAGCACGGGTGGCAGGCGTTGACGCTGTGTGCAAAGCCAGATCCAGTTCCTTTGCAGACTGATGAATTCACATCAGTCCCCAAAATGTGGATACCTGCACAGCCAAGTAACTGCCCCCATCATCACCCAAATGAATGATAGCTCTGTGCCCCTTGGTAGAGAATTGCTTCAATGTTTTATGGTTTCTGTTGTACCAGATAGCAAACTTTCATAAATCCCAGAGGAAAAAAATCAACAAAATCCGTCAGCAATATAGCACACTATTTCTAGAACTAAGGAGTGGCTTTGGACATCCTCTCCACAAAGGCTGCAGCCTTAGTGTGAGTTTATTCACCATATGGACTGTGTCAGGCTTTGGCTTCATTTCAGTGCATCTGTAAGATGCTTCCTTAACCTCTCCTGTGTTTTTCTTCATAGCAATCGAATGAGCTTTATCTCACCAGAAAGAGACAGTATTAATTCAGCAAGAATATTTGCCAATTCAGTTTCCGGAGAAGAGGAAGAAAGTTACATTCATATGGTAATGTCATTTTCACACAGCCATCCTTTGCTTTATGCTGCTCTCTCACATTGATGGAGAATGCAGAAGTTTGTTTTCTAAGAAAAAAACGTTGAGAAGGTTTGTCCTTTGCCTTCTGGTTTGTTTCTTTTTTTTTTTTCAAATGATGAAATGGTTTTAAACCAAAGACACTGGGACCAATTTACAGAGAGATAAGGGAAGCCCTTTTCCTGCTCTGCAGAACTCAGCTGTTCGCCCACGAATGTTGCTGAACAGTTCCAAGAGATCACAGGGATCAGCCATATTTACATGAGAACTCATTAAGACAAAAGAAAATTAAATCTTTTCACCTCTTAAAAGTGTGCTTTGCAAAATCTCCTAGGAAATAACAGAAAGCCGTTAGTACACTTCCTAAAGAAACACACAAATATTGTGCAGAAACAGAACTCCCATTAAAGTCTCATCGCTTCTGCTTTGGCTGGTGGCACTAACCCCACTTCCCATCCCATGAAAGAAGAACATCTGGCTTTGTGGCTTCCTTTTTTTTCATTTTGTCTTTAGCCTATCTTGCAAAAGATCAGAATCTTGTTTTACTTTGAATTTTAGGTGGAAATGGATCTCAAATTCATTCATCTGAGCCATTGTCTACAGATCTGCTCCACAGCCAAAGCCCAATACCAATAGCTATAAAAATATATTGCAAAACTGACCACAGTCTCCATGAACCATAGCTCCAAATTTTAACCCACATCTCTACCAGACTGAAATGTGCTCAAGAGGGCAATTCCAGTTGTAACCATTCCCTGTTTGGTTTTTCTAGTCTAGGAAAACGTGACATATGTTTGTGGTTATTTGTGATTTTATGAGAATAATTTTAAGTTTCTGGATTTCAACTGAATTTTCACCATTTCTTCAAATTCATTGAATGATGATGTTTAAGTGGCACCCCTGCAAATCTGAGCATTCTGAGGGCTTGGATTGAGAAGCTGGGCACAAGTCCTTCTTGATAAAATTGAGTGTAAATCAGCCTGATTCGGTTTTTTTGCCAGAATTATTAGAAGAAAAATGTTCTCATTATTTCTTTATCCCACAATTATCAGTGTTATGCTGTGGTTAGTAACCAAATGCACCTTTGGCTTAGACAGAGGGCCCTGACTGTTCTCATTCACATTCTGCCAGGTGAATCTCCCAGCTCCCAGTTGTGATCCTGTGTCCTTCTAGAATCATGTGTTTTAGAGCATTAAAAGTTTTTCTTTTTTCCTGACAGGAACACAGACAGGCCACCTCTCCATACAGTGGTGCTTTTCCATGGACAAGGAAATCTAACCTTGATTACTTAGCACTGGATTTTAACTCTGCTTCCCCATCCCCTGTGCAGAAGGTAGGAGTCATCTGAAAAACCCCACAGCCTCCTGCCTCTTTGTCTGCTGGGAGGAAATCCAGACCCAGGGTTGCATTCTGCTAGGTGCCCTGAGTGCCCTGATGAAGCCAGCCCTGTTTCCAGCTGACTGTATTTGTGTCAGGCCCAGGATTAATATGACAAAATCATGGTGAGGGTGCTGAGGTGTCCTTAGTGACTCAGAGGGATGCTGCTAACACAAGCTCAGCACAGGAGATGAGGATATGAGGATGATATGAGGATATGAGACTGCTCTGGGAAGTGCAGCCATGAGGGCTTGTGGGCCAGCAGGTTGATGATTGCAGGATCTCTGCATGCTCCTGCATTTCATCAAGTCTCCACAAAGCCTTTCCTGCTAGTTTTCCCAAAAATCTCTTTGCAGTAACAAGTTGCAGCCCATGATAAATCCATGGGGTAAAACTGTACCATCTCTTATTGTCTGGCAAAATGTGCATCTTTATTCTTGCATCATCAAAACCATTTCAATTTCTTTTGCAATACTGAGAAAATGTGTTCCTTGTTCCAAAGAACTTCTAAGCTGCCCAAGTGGTGGGTGGGTATGACTGCAAAGCAATGAATTGTTGTCAGTTGGGATCATTTTATGTCCTATGTATCATTTTGCCCATCAGCCCATACTCCCAGATGCAAAAGACTCATGACTCTTAAGCTTTCTTGTTTAAACCCTCCCTGTATCTGAAATCAGTTAGGTTATCCCTGCAGCAGCACCACTCAGATGAGGAGAGAATGATTATCTGCAGGGAAATAGCCAGTACAGCATGTTTCCCTCACTTGCTGGGCTGAGTGACAGGGTGACAGATGGATGATTGTAGCTAAAGCAGGCTGTAAAGCAATGCTTTTGTCAGCTGATGTCACTGTGAGCTTCACAGTGAAGGGAAGCAGTCAAGGAACGAGGGAAAGGGAAAACAGAAAATCAAGCTAAGTTTTACTAGCACCCCTTTTCAATGTGAAAATTAAAACATTGTTTTTTTCTTCTCTGTCCCATAGAAACCTTTCCTGTCTGAGGAGCAGAGGGTGGACTATGTCCAGGTAGATGAACAGAAGACTCAAGCTTTACAGAACACTAAGCAGGAATGGACAGATGAACGACAATCGAAAGTATAAAGGAAGAAGATTTCTGGAAGGGATCTGGAGGGGGTTTTTTTTGCACTGGAACCACAATGTTAATGAAGCAGCTATCACAGGAGAGCTCAAAGGCAGAGAGTTGTAGGATGCTTACAGTCTGTAGAGGCATTTTTACTGGAAACCTTTGATTTCAGCTGGAAGAAGGATGTTGAGTGAGTGAGTGGTTCACTGGTGACTGAAGCAATGCATTAGCCTTTTACTGCCCTTACCAGTGTGCTCCATGGTACCATTTCTGGCATGATTCTGCAACGAGTCATACACTTAACGTTAACAAATCCACTACAAGTTGTATTAATCTAGCTCCTCCTGCCTTCTCCTTCTCTGCATAATTCCTAGTTGCTAAAGCTATTTTTTGATATTCCTACAAATGCTGCAGATGCTCAGAGTGCTTTTGTGGCAACAGGCATCTGACAGGTTTTGGTGACTAATCAACTAAGGGCTAAAATACTGAAACAATAATAAGAACTTTTTGACTATATAGTGCTTAAGCAAAGAGAATTTCGAAAAATATTTTCCCCTGGGTTTAAAAGGTCTGGCTGTGAGCTGAAGCTGTCAGAACTCAAAACAGAACTACGTGTCCATGCCACTGGAATGCATGGTCTTTGACCCTCTGGATGGTGGTCACTGTACTCAGCTTCTTCCCTCCATTGTGGCTCATACCTGTCACTTTTCTGTCTGATTCTTACTGATGTTTCCTCCCCTGTCTTGGGAAGTGTCTTCAGCACAGCACAGCTGCTCTTCTTGTAGGAGGCTGCAGCCACACAGCTCTTGGCTGGCCAAAAAATAGAAAGGGAAGCTGTGAGCCTGTTTCTGCAAGCCTTGAGAGAACTGGCAAAGGATCAAGACTGCTTTCATCTGAACAGCAGAAGGAATGCCATTGGAATGCTGGTAGCAGGCGTCAATCTGATTGTTTCACTAGACCCACCCCAAAATAAAAAAGAGCATTAGGAAGTGCAGCGTGCTCTGGGAGGCCAGGAGCCTGCCAAAACAGGACAACAATGTGCTCACACAGCATGAGGACCTCTGGGTTCAGGAAGCTTATCTACCTTGGGACTTGTTACAGGCACTATCTCAGGATGACATGTGTGTATAGTTTATAAGATATTTAACTTTAAATGCTTGGCTGTGGTCTTTATTTTACAGTGGCACACAGCCACCTGACTCATGGAAGTGGGCAGTGGTGCTGAGTGACACACACTGGGTTTGGTCTCACAGGCTTTGCTCCTGTAGGTGAGTCCCAGTAGCCATAAGAGGTCTGATCCTGTCATCAGGGACAGACAGACAGGACCCTTACAAAAGATTTCTTCTCTGACAGTGCCAATTCCCTGGCCTTCCTTCATGTGCCTGTTGTTACCACCTTGCATTGCTGTAACCTGACATCCTAAAAATTCTAATCTACAAACAGAGGTCATAGAAATGCCATTGCAGAAACCACTGGCATGTCAAGGCTTCTCCTCAGCTTGTTCCTTACCCCCTGTGTGCTCCCATCACTCAGGCACTCTGGGAGGCCATCGCTCATCCCGTGGCAGAGGCAGCATGGCTAACAGAAACACAGTTTTCCTCCTACCTCAAGAGAGCTGAAGGGCTTGCAGGTCTCACTCTTGTTTAGCCCAGCCCCTGGGGATCTGTGGTGACCAGGATCTCACTGGGTTACCCTGCAAGAACAAGGGTCACCAGCACCTTCACTGACTGGGGCAAACGGGGCACCCAGGCCTGCAGGGTGAAGTGTCCTGGACTAGAGCTGCTGCTTGGAAATTGGGGTTATCCTGCAGGTAGCTGACCTGCTGCTCCCTCCTGCCCTGCTCCTCTCCCCCCTCACCAAAGCTCTCAAATGAAAGTTGATGTTGATAAAAATTTTGAAAATAATTCCAACTTTTCCACATGCACCTTGTCTGTCTGGTGTGAAATTTAGTTTGTTAACACCCAGCTGTTTTGTCCTCTAACTGACTTATCAGAGCTGGGAGCACCCATGCCCTGGGATATTGTGACAGGGGAGAGGCAGTGTGATCTACACCGGCACAGAGGTGTCAGAGAGAGGAAAGCAGGGAAGGGCCATGGATACTGAGACCTCTGCCTTTCTGCTCAAAAGAATTGCCTTTCTTTCAAAGTGTGCAAATAACACGTGTCCCTGAAAGCTCTTGGTATGTGCTGACACACTGAAAGGGTTAAAAGACCAGCTAAAAGGCATTTTCAATTACAAACAGACAACCTCCACAAAGGGTGAGTGAAGTTATGTTCTGCTGCTGCAGATCCCAGGTTGTGGAGCAATGGCAGAGCAGCCTCTGATGCAGATCAGAATCACAGATCAGCTCGTGTTTGACTGGAGTGTTTCCTTTCATGCTGTCAGAAAATATTCTCAAGTGGAAAAACACCAAGTTATTGGAGACAACTGACTCACTCGTTATTCTAGTTTATTGTAAAAATATTTAAACGTCAACAAACCTGGCTAACAGATCATTCAGAAGTTTAGAGAAGAAAGAGCTGTATCTGGATTTCTACTCCCCTACAAGGACATAAGCATATAGCTTGGCAGGGACTGTCCTTAGAGGAGAATGGCCCCTTTCAACTTCCTGTGTCCCCTGCTTGCCCTCACAACACTCTTATCTTGATCAAATGCTGCTCACTGGTGTCTAACTTTTAACTTAGAGCTAAGTTTGAGGGTCTATTCTGATTTTTCATGTGATGTCCATTTTTACCAGCTGCTGCAGGGCCCGTGACATTCTTTGCAGGTACAACACATGAAACAGGAGCAATTAAAAAATACTAGGGGATAAAATTTAAAAGCAGAGCAGTCCTTCTCAAAGGCTTTTTTTTCCTTTTGTTTTGGTCAAATTCCACAATACTTCAAAGAGGGTTAAGAGGAGCAGGATGGTGGGAGGATGGCAAAGCCAAATCTGCTGTGGCCACCTCACCACGAAGGGTTTGGGTGTGAGGGGAGCCATGACTGACTAACCTGTGGGCCAGTACTCACAGAGCAAGCTGCTGGGAGTGGAGGAGTGTTACAGAGCAAAAAGGAGTTGCTGTTCAGTTGAGGCTGTTCTTAGATCCTAATCCCTTGGCCAAGAAGGAAAGAAAAAGAAAATGTGAAAACTGAGTCAGCTTTTGACACTGTCATGACTGAAAATATAGCCCAGATTGGAGCCCTTGGTTAGTACTGGCTCTGGGGCCAGCCAGGCACGCTCCTGATGGTGTTCTCTTTTTGCCATGGGTCTGTTATTTGCATGCATTTTTTCCAAAAGTGTGGTGAGAGCTGATGCAGAGAGATACTCTGCACCTGAATGAGCACAGAGTGGCCAGTGGTCCTTAGCAAACTCTGCTGAGGGAATTGGCACTGCCCTGCCCAGGTATTGTAGTGCCTTCTCCAGCACACTGCTGGGGCCTCTCATTGAAATAGGGAGAGCACTAAATGAGCAGAACTGTTTTGGTTTAATTGGAAATGTCACCTTGTGGAGTTGCTGGAAGTTTGGTTGCAGGGTGACATGGAAAACAACCAAGCTCAATGGTTTGAGTCCTGTGGTTATTGTTGGGTTCCCCCCACTGATGTGTTTAATATGGCCTTACTCTCTCCTTCAATGACTGCACATTTGACCAAGGCATAGCAGGTTCACAACTCATTTGCTTTTTGGACATTTCTAATTCCTTTATGACAGGAGGCAGCATTAATTTCCTTACTGGCAGAAAGGAACACTTAACCTGAGAAATGCCAGCAGCCATGAAACTGGAGCAAGGTGTTTTCAGCCAGCTCACTTTGCCAGTGGTAGCACCTGCTTTCTTCATTGTCACTAACTACATCCTAGATGTGATTTCGGAGTTGCATTCACTTGCAGTAAGTAGTTCAGTAATTCAAAGACCACCAGATGCTGTGATGAGAACGAAGCACAGGGCAATGCCTTCCCTTTGTCCCCCTGTTCTGCAAAACTTGCTCAGGTTTAAAAAAAATAAAAGCCACCAAAATAGCAGACATTTGCCATGTCAAAGCCAGGATATTTTTTGTTTTTAAATAAAAATAAACTTTTTCTTGTGCAAATGAAGCATTATACTTTTTTTGTATTTGTAAATCTGTGGGGAAGCATTAAACAGTCATCTCTGTTACGAAGGGACAAGTCATTGCTAGAGGGAAGGGGCTCACCTTCCTCATGTTTCATTGTAATGTTTGGTGTATATATTTGCACATTAAACTGTATCTTTTTTCTAATAAATTAATATAAAAGGTAGCTGTGATCTTTAATTATTTTGGTATGTGAAAGTGCTCATGGGATAAGCTCCCACATCTTTCATTTCATGCTGTTTCCGTTTTTAAATTCTCCTATTAGGCAGTGACTTGTTCATATAAAATATTTGGATGCAAGTTGAAACAAATTGGCAAACAAATGTCATGTGCCTGTGTATCAGGGAGATTATTTGCAGCATAACAAAGAACTGTGAAGTTGTGGCTTGGGCTGATGTCTGTGCCCTCCTGGGACAGGGAGAGCTGCAGTCCCCCAGTCACAGCCAAGGGGCAGGAAGGGGCCACAGCTCCTGAACAACCATGTAGAGCACAAGCACAAATTTATTCAGCACATGCTCCAGGCTTGGATTCAAAGGCTGGTTGTTATTTAACCTGGTCTTTTAATTGCTCTGTGCTGAGCAGTGTAGTTGCTGGTAATACAATTTCCACGTGCAGCAAGCTGGGAATGTGGGATCCTTTCAATGTGCACATCCTGGGAATTGGAAGGTGAAACAAGGCAGTCCATGGGAGCAGAGCTGAGCAAGCCTTGCTGCTAACAAGCCAGGTAGTTTGGAAATAGTTTATTTATTGCTTCAGGCAAGTGCCACTTTTGGATCTGCACGCTTTGTAATCTGGCTGGAGGCACAGCGTGGGGATGGAGGGAGGTGGAGGGCTTGGAGAGCCCTGATGGAAACTTGGCTGCTCAGCTCAAGACACACAGACACGTGTGGCTCAGATAAGCCCTCGCCTGCAGCCTTGATAGAAGGGAACTCCGTGACATTTTGTGTTTGGTCTTCCAGGGAGGGCAGGTCAGACAAATAAAAGGTCAGATAAAGTCTGACTGGCATTTCACAGCTCCTCCATGTGCTCTGCCCAGCAGAAATGGCAACAGCCCTTTCACCAGGGAGCACTTCCCGAAAAGAGACCTCCCTCAATGCCTCTCCTCCCAGAGCCTCGGAGAGAAACAACTGTGGCAAAAAACAACTGCATCAGCCCTGCCACCATGGGGGGAGCCAGGAAGCTCTCACACTTCCACACCTCCATGCAAAGTACTTTACTGATTGGGTAATAATAATAACAACAACAATAATAATAATGTAAAAAAACTGACAGCAAAATGTCTGGATATGTAAGCACTTGGCTCTATAGAGGCTGGCCTCTCTAGTTACATCTGCAATTTCAAACCACATCCAATATTTCCCTGAAGCAGAAAGCCACAGAGCGGCCAGCCAGGTAGCAAATCCAGGTTATCTTCGTGGGGTGTGAAAAACAAACCTCTCCAAAAAGGCACTAATTCCCCATCATAGAATCAGAGAATATACCTAGAGTTGGAAAAGACCCACAACAAACACTGGGGTCCAGCTCCAGGTCCTGCACAGCACAGCCCCAAGGATCACATCGTGTGCCTGAGAGCATTGTCCAAACCCCTCGTGAGCTCTGGCAGGCTGAGTGCTGTGACCACTTCCTTCCAGAGGCTGTTCCAGTGCTCACCCTCTGGCTGAGGAACCTTTTTCTCATATCCAACCTCTCAGCCCTGCACGTTTTGTCTCCTCAACTGTTCTGGTTGAAGTGCAATTGCTTTGGTCTTTTTTAGCCAGAGCTGCTCAGGAGAGCATCTGCCTTAGAAACAGGATTCCTTCCTAGTGCATGAGCTCTGTATCAGCTCAACAAAACAGTGGTGATATCTCATTTCTCTCCAGGAGATCTCCATGATTTTTGGCAACAGAGCCATACTTAATTCCAATTTTTCATGTGGCTTTGCAGGACAGTGACTTTCCCCAGGCCAGTGGCAGTAGCAGAAACAACACTGAATTTGTGGGTTCTTAGTCCTGCTATTTTGCTAGCAACTTATGCAGGCTTCACACTGTGTTTTGACAGGTCTTAAGAGTCGCATTTCCCCATCAAACAGCATCCAAAACTCCTTTTCCAGTTGTTTAGGGCACAGAGTGCAGAGGGACTCAGCTATTGGGTTATACATATTAATGGCAGCACACTGGCAGTCAGGGGTACCACATCCAGCACAAACAAAGGATGCACTGGCAGAAGCTCAGCCCATTCCCACCTGGGGAGCTGATCCCAGGCCCTGTTGTAATGCAGGAGGGAGCAGGGAGCAGCCCAACCTTTCATTCGCTGTCCTGTTTTTTTCTACTTTGATTTTCCTTTCACATCCAATTTTAGCATAAGCTCATTGTTAAACAGCCCCAGCATCCTGCTCTGACAGCTTTGGGATCTTGGCATATCCATCACTGTGTAAGAGCCTGAAAAGCCCTTGCTCTCTGGTGGGCTCACACTGAGGGCCTTAAAGCTTGGGGCAATTTGAGGGGGTGTTTTCATGGCATGGGTTTGTGGTGGTTGTTGCAGTTCAGTTTGCTCCTTCGGTCAGAA